TTCAGTGGCCATCTCCCAAAGAGGTCTGCAGCTCAGCGCCGATGCTACAACTGTTTCACTGGCGTTCTTCATACTTCTCTGAATCAATCAACCAATCGTGCGATTATTAAATCAAGATAGAGGCAGCCACATATTTTGATATTTTACAAAAACAGTGCCGGAGAGTTTGCAAAGTGCCTTGCCTTCACACACAAAAAAAACACAGACTCTACATCTCACGTGTGCGCCGTTTAAAACCCGAAGAGAAACTTGGCCCGTTGTCTTCACAGCGTGAAAAGGGTTCCAGGCGCACTCCAGATTCAAATATCTCTTGGCTGTCATCGCGAGTAACGGATAGAGGCCGCGTGTGTAAATGAAAACCATTGTTAAATGTCAAGCAGCCTGCCCGTCAACCTCATACGGAATACCGCGCGTGCAAGAGAAACTAAATTGGTAACTGTTCTGAACACGGTGACATTAGCGGCAACAGCGGTGGCATTTGTTCTTGCCAACAATACGAGCAAGCCGTGCTAATTTTAATCTGCGGAATAAGGATGTTCGACAACTTCAAGTCGCCAGCCCAGTTCACGTGGACGTGATAAGGGCTTAACAGTGCGGCAATCTTCTTGGTTCTTTCGGTAAAGTCACGTAGAAGGGAAATAATAAAATAACAAAAATAAAACAGAATAAAATACAATTCTCACGACGTTTCGGCCACAACGCAAGCAGCCGTCCTCAGGTGAAGAACAGGTCTGTCGGAAAGACAGTGTCTTAATGCGTGGCAATGTCAAATTAAATTAAATGCCACCCACAAAAACTGACGCCTCCCCCTCCCGACTCGAGAGGCACATGTCGAGATATATTTATGGTCAAGAGGTTTAAGTTACGAGGGCTCCTTCACAATTATCACTTTTGCAGATTCAACAGCTCGGGTTTCGGCTTTAATAAACGAGCGTAATTATTGGGCTGAAATACAAGTCCTATAATGTGTAAATGAAAACGTGTTGCGAGTGGCACACATTGTGGGCTGTTGTTACATTGAATATTATATCAACGGCGGAGGGAGAGCGGGGGGGGGGGGTGGTGGAGTGGTGGCGCTGCAGTTAGCACACCGCATATTGAACCCAGCGAGTTTTATTCTGGGCCACGGCCAGCAATGATGAGAAGTGATATCTGAACAGATTCTGGGTCCCCACACTTTACCAACCCGCATTGACCAGCGTGGTGAAGTATGGACAAAACCGCCCATGATCGAGAGGAGTATTGAGGTCTTAATCTAACAGTGGATTAACAAAGTGCTGTAAATGAATACGTTAAACAATCTTTAAACGTTACAAATAAGGGACAGATGCACACCGTATGTGCACATGGTTTGGCGGCACCAGTTCTCACTTTTCTTTTGCTGGCGGCTAATTTCTAAGGCAAGGAATTGGTAATTAATCTCACTAAAGTATTATGCACAGCAGTGCGCTATATTACTCATTTGCTGCCTCTGTGACCTGTACATCATTATTCTGCCTTGCTAAAAATATGTTCCATCCAAATGGGTTCTCACCTGACTAGGAGTAAAAAATAAAACGCAACGCATCCCTGTTACTTCAACTTTTTGTGCAAGAGTCATTTTTACGTCTTTTTTTTAGGAATGTATTTGATTTAGCGAATTTGTAACTTAAGTAAGACTGATTCCCTTTTGGGTTGGCCTTTTTTTTTCTCTCTCTCTCTCTCTCCATTCATCTGTAACTACTGGTGACGTTTCATGTGCCCGGCCTGCCATGCAGAGATTTTTCAACCCTCGCTGCCTCTGATCGAAGCGTTAAAATAATCCTCGACATCTCACCGCGTCTGTCTACCCAGCAGGCTATGGCCTGGGAAGGGGGAGGGGGGGGGCCTTCATCCAGCAGTGGATAGGAAATGGCAGATCTTGTACCAAAGCTACTTTGATTGGCTCTCTAAATACTGCGTGAATATACGTAACATACACTCATCTGTTCAACATATTGTATTTGTATACATGAATAAAGTACGGTATTTGTGCAGCCGTCGACCAAGAGCAATTACAACTGACATGATCGACGCGAGAAATAGAATTTGAATTCCTGCCAGAGATCTACGGAACGATGTTCAGATCTGCACCAATGGGCAACGCGTGGGTTGGGCTATCATTGCATACGAAAATAAGTCAATAATCATAACTTTTTCAAGTTAAAATGTTTACATTGGCAGACTTTTTCTTTTTGCTTCACAGCCCCTTAAGGCGTCAACAAAATATATTTGGAGGATTTTAATTACTTTTCTCACGCCAATATAAAAATACCGTAATAAGCTAATGCTATGCAAGCTAAATCCAATCAATCAATTATTTTATTCAAAGCCACTGGGGGATCGTGTTGAAGTTGATGGGTCCCTATGCGATTAAAATCAACTGCGTGGATAAATTCACCGTTGCATGAACGCCTCCCGAAGCTGCCACCATCTCTCAGTCTTGCGATGAAATAGCACAAGTCAAGGACACCCTACTCTGGTCACGTGTTTCATAACACTGGTGAACACACTTTTTCTGGCATAAGGTATTCCAACGGTTTTAAGGTAATTTCGGGGTGCTGATTCCAAATCTGGCATCAGTTTTTGTTTATCACATCAGGTCTTTGAGATATCAAATATTGAATTTTCAATAAAAACTGCAGAAGAAAAATATTAAATAAATGTGGATATCTACATAAAATGATATTATAAACACACTATCCTAAAAATACAGCACCATATTTTAACACGAAAGCTGACTCGCAACAACTTGCAATCATAAGTGACAGAGTTAATTTCGGGTAAAATCAATGAAAATTTGGTATGCCGATAGCATAAAATGAGATGTGATAGAGCGAATTTGAGATCAGATTTGGAATCAGCACCCTGAAATTAGTCTAAAACAGCTGCAAAAGTCCAGGCCAGAATTTTTTTAATTTTTGTTGTTGACCAGTGTAGTTAATCTAAGTGCCTGCACACGACAAGATTATTGCTTAGCCTCGGACAAATCCCTCCTTTGGCTGCCACTTCGTCATCAGTCCCGCCCACGAACGGCAGTCCTCCACAAGCCCAGTTGATTTATGCCTCGTAGAAAATACCCCTCTCAATACTCTGATAGTGCGCTGTTTTTTAGTTGTATGCCTTTTGGCGTCATCTGGTCCAACACCAATGGAGACTAGGCTCTAAGAAAAGCTGTCTCGGGTGTGGACCAATCAACTTCAAGGACAGTGCATATCATTATCATTATCAGAGTTGTTTCTTTTTGTTTGCATTTTGACTGCTTGTGTTGTAGTTATTGCAAACATGATGCCTTGTATAAAGGTGTCAGTTTTTGTACCAGTTTAAAGGGTAAAACCCGACTACTAAAATACCCCTTCTTGAGGGTAAAACTGCGATCAAACATGAGTCAATCTTTAACGTCAGGACATGGTTACTTTTCCTCTTTGCCAAGCAAAACCTAACTTCACACCTGCAAGTAGACTGCTTCAATTGGAAGCCAAACCACGGGCAGAAGCTTTACACAAATTGGAGTTCTTGAGCAAACATTGGTGAAAAATTCTTAAACAGCAGCTAAAATTATTTTAATTTCGGTAACGTCATTATTTTCCTTTGTGGTGCTTTTGAGGCCAGGCTTAGTGACTTTACTGGCTACTACATCAAACAATGTAGCGGCCAGCAATTGCAGTAACGCAATTAGTTCGCCGAACAATCTGTGGCAATGTGTTAGAGATTCCCTCATACACACACGCTTGGGTTTCCTCTGCTTGCTCATGTTTCCTGGAATCCACCCGAGATGAAACTGGGTTCTCAAGTGTATCGAGTCGATGTTCTCAAATCAGGTCGCCCGTGACTGCACACACACGCAGCAGCAACAACAACAACAACAACTTGATACAGCTTTCGTGGCTGTGACGGTACCACCTGAAGACGGAAGCTTGTGTTGCCTCCGAAACGTCGTGATTTTTATTTCATTTTTAATGTGTTTTACCTACGTGACTTTACCGAAAAAACCTAAGAATATGAATCCTTGCAGTCACGAAAGCTTCAAATCTAGAAAACAACAACAGCAACAAAACATCCACCTCGTTAAATTTGGCTCCGCATTTCGTTTGGCTAAATTCCAGCTCCTGAGGATTAAAATATCGGTTTGAGTGTCACGTGGCGAACAGTGCTGTCAGTGGCACAGCGGGTTGGAAAGCGCTGTCCGTCCCCCCCCCCCCCCCCCCGACTGCGCTGACCGGAGATCGTTCGACTCTCTGTGACGGCACTGCTCTGCGGTCGTTGTAAATAGACTCACGGCCTCGGGGCACGGCGCTATTCGGATAAAGTCGTGGAAAAGTAGATGAAATCAAACAGTCATCCACTGTTGACTTACCACGAATTGGCTATTTTTTTATTATTATTTTTACACAACCAAAATAATAATAACAGTGGTCACCCCTGCAAATGACATGTTCCATCTCAAATGATTATTCGGGTAAAATATCTTATGAATATATAATAATTACATTTATCAGGCACAATTCATCCAGGGATCTCAGTGCGTCCCATCCACGAAGTTAGGAAATAGAAATACTACAAAGTCCAGAGTCCACTGGTCATATATGGGAAGTGTAGGCCAGGCAAAACAGGCAAATCTTTAGAGAAGACCTCAACATGGCAAGCATGTCTAACCGCAGGTGAGAGGGCATTCCATAGTCACGGTGCAGCACATTCAGAGCCTCGGTTACTCCAGGTGCAGAGTCTAGTTCTCGGCACATGAATCAGATGTAAAAATCAGCAGATCGGAGAGGTCGTGACGGTACGTGCACGTTTATCAGCCTATAAAACAATAAATCATGACCACTCATTTTGCGCCACATGCGTAGACGAAACGCATTTGCGGAGAAGCCGAGCCGGCCAAATCGTCCCGATGTGAACGCAGAACCACGCCGGTCGTGATCCAGCGGCGCTAACATTGCGCGTGCCATCTCCCCCCCCTTCCCTCTCCTCTCTTTCAGCAGATCCAGAACACGTCGTGGGGCAACAGCAGCGGCACGCCGCCCATGTCGTCGTGCGTCATGTCGCACGAGGCCATGCCGCCCTCGTGCATGGGCGCGCACGCCCACGGCGGCATGTCGGGCTTCATGGGCGTCGCGCCGCAGCAGACGGGCCACGCGCCCCACCACCACGCGCCCCACCACCACGCGCACCACGCGCCCCACCACCCGCACCACCTGGGCCAGGCCGCCGGCATGAACGGCCTCTTCTCGGGGCCCGCCCTCGGGGCGGCGGCCGCGGCCGCGGCGGCCATCAACGGCTTCGAGCTGCACCCCGAGACGGAGCGCAAGACGTCGAGCATCGCCGCGCTCAGACTCAAGGCCAAGGAGCACAGCGCGGCCATCTCCTGGGCCACCTGACTCCTCCCCGAGACCCCCCCCATCCCCGCCTCCTTCTCCTCCACCGCCTCTGCGCCAAGATTCCCACCTGTCTCCCCCCTCGCTCCAGTCCTCGATCCCTCCATCCCACCTCCACCGCTGTAAAGGGGGGACAAAGTGTGGCGATGGTAAAGCGAATTTAAGCACAACCGTTGAAATAATACTGCGACAGTATTCTTGAAAGTAAATAAGGTATTCCTCAGATGATGAGACGCTGTGGAAAGATGCACCCGAAACTTCTCCCATCAATCGCAACAGACTTGTTAAAACATGGGGCCTTTCTTGCCAGGATCAAAGAATAAGAATAGGTTTTACCCTTTCTGGCGATAAAACAGGTTGTAAGATGTTCAAGCACCAAACAGAAACATTTTGCAAGGAATCGTGTCTGCTTTAACCACACACGGTGCGTGTGGTGAACATGCCAACAAAAAACATGCAAAAGGCCTTTTGGCGTTCTCTGCTCTAACACTGGTTGAGACTAGGCCCCAAAGAAGGCTGTCTCTGGTGTAGACCAATCAGTTTCAAAGACAATGCCAAATATTACCAGAGCATGTTTTCGTTTGCATGTTCACCACAAGTATGTGTGGTTAATGCAGACATGATATCTTGCAAAAAGGTTTCTGTTGGGCGTCTGAACATCTTAACACAACTGTTTTATTGCCAGAATGGCTAAAGCCTATTAATAATCTTGCGACGACACTGCTGGTACACTGTTGTCCAACACAGCTTTCGTAATCAAGTAGTCAATTACTTGTTTAACACGCAGGCTTTCGTGACCAATATCATCCATAATACAGGTTTTTTTGGGGTTACATCGCGTAAGTATATAAATGTGTCGTTAAACCCACCACCACCCGACACAGCCAACTAGTAAGGGTTGTCACGTAAACAGAACGTGCCAATTCGTTACTAGTACAGCACACCGATGTGTTGGAGAGCGAAGCCACGTTTATATATTTACGCGATCTACAACAAAAAAAACCTGTATTATGGATTCAATGACCTGTCGGGATCGCAAAGGGCCATCAAATACAAATCAGTGAGATATCTATAAATGAATCAGCCTGTATAAACAACACAGCTTTTTTATCCTGTTCACAACTCGTAGGCTACGATTTTTGGGGAATATTATTTTTTACAAAAATCCAGAATAGATATTAAAAAAAAAATAACTTTCAATTATCGCAACAACGCTCATTGAGAGAAAACATCACACCGGAAAACCCGTCAGTTGTACGCAGGAAATGTAAACTAGCTAATGGACGCAAATAATCGGTGAATTTTGGACGTTTTTCTGTAAGGCTTAGGTCCCACGTGTTTGATCCAAATTCCATTCACATGTACGCACAGCTATTAAAACAAACCCCCCTCACTTTCATTGGGGGTCTATGAAGCAACCATCTGTCGGTCGATGAATGAAAACACGTTACGAGAAATCAACCGGGTTTCTTTGCAACGGACTGCCACAATCACAACTCAATCAGTCCCCTAACCCTAAGGGTATCGTTAAGGCTATTGGGATTTAAACAGGCGATACACCGAGACCCGCTCATTAACATGTGCCCCCCACTAAAAGAACAGGGATAAGTTGAAGATCAAACGTTTTACGTCAAAGCCCCAACACTTCACCCACCAAATCTCAATTACACGCTTTCAATATGTTAACACCCTGTCTGCCGAATAGGAAGCCGTCAATCTCACAATATTCGATTGCCTGCTGCGATTAAATTTCGTCACCTGTCATTGGAAATCAGTGGGGTGGCTATCAACCGATCACCCCCTACATTAACTATGAACACTGCTTTGACAGATTTCAGAAAAGAATGAATGACGATCCCTTTAAGTGAATGGCTATGGCTATTGACTCATTAATTTAGCGGTTTTGCACTTTCGCCCAACAGCGCCAGACTCCATATGTATGTAACTGTACAGACCCAGTTGTATATATGTATATACGTATAACTATATTGTGACATGTATATTATATAAATAGGGCATGCAAACACTACACAGTTGTTACTGTTGTTTTACCACACTGCCGTAAAGCTAAAATTACGAGATTTTTTTTTTTAAACAGAAATACATGTCTGCTGTTGTTGTTGTCATTTAGTCAATGTAATGTCTCCAAACAGTATTAGTAACGTAGCTACTCGTAGCATAGCACTGTGTGTGGGCATATTCTGTATGGAACTTCACGTTTGCGACAGGAGCCAATAGATTATTTTCTACTGCTGATATGGAATTAAGAATTAGCCGAAAGTGTCAACAGCATGGGACGAGCATTGACCTACTCTTATTCGTTTTCCTTCATTAAAGAAGACTATTTTTAGTTGTAGTATTTTTTTAGGATGTAGTAAATCACGGTGTGTATATCGTAAAATTATTAACTTGATTTAAAAAAAAATACAAAAAAAATTAATGACCTTTATATACAACTGCATATATAATGATAAAGACTGAGAATATTTACAGAAGCTTTTTACTTACGTTTTGAAATGTTTAACCCCACCCCATACCACGCCCCGATTATTTTGCATAGAGATATAAGAATTGTTTTCTTTTATAATAAACTGAAAAAAATGTTATTGTAATAAATGGAAAAAATGACGTGTAATTAAAATATTTTGAAATATGTAATAGTCACAAGCATATTTTATTCCTAAGTTATTTTAATAAATTCAGAAAAATGCAAAAAAAAGGGTCTTACTCACGTCTCATCTGCTAACAAATCCTATCCGATGGACTCAACGATGAATATCCGAGTCTCAACTATAAAGTAATGTCACCTTGTAGCGCTCCGTCACCGCCGTATAGTTTTCGCTCACTCTCGAAGACAGAGAACGACTCAGATGCGCGAGGAGGAACCGCAGACGAGCCGAAAGGCTGCAGCCAACAACTGCCCAAGCTCTGCTGTCCTCAACATACGAATATCTTATGCGGCCAAATAAATGACCGATTTACATGTGGGAGGAAACCTGAGCGCCAGGAGAGAACCCAGGCGTTCGAGAGGGGTGGGGCGAGGGAGCAACACGCTATCCCATCCTGATGGAGCTAGTGGAGTTCACCTTTTTGTTGTTGTTGCCTGTTAGGCCTCCTCTAACGGCACCTCGACCGCACGCGGGATGAGAGTTTCACATCATTTGCGTAATCCACCAACCCTCGCGTCAAAAGAGTTGCTGGATTTCAGGCATGCGTCATCGCCGGCCGGCTCATAAAATACATTTGGGGGGGGGGTGGACAGCAAGGCAGAACCTCATTGTGCAAAACACAGTTTGAAATAATACTATAATTGCATTCGACATTGAATACACCGAGCAGCTTTCTCGAGATAGTTCATATGGGTTGGCAGATGACGGAAAATGCCTTGGCGTCATGCCACCTATCTAGGCTCGAAGGAGCGCTGGTTGGCCCACTCAGGACCACTATCAGAGTTAGGTCTATGTTGTTTTGACCAGGGTTTGCGGTCTATGCAACATGATCTTGCAAAGGGTCAGGTTCCAGTGAAGGGTAAAGGTTATCAACACTGTATGTATACGGGAGGGGGGAGGGGGGGGTGCTGGCAGTTAAGCACCTCTGTGCATTGCAGGGGCCAGGCTAAGCCAAACACTTAAAAGCACCGATAATACAGCGTTTTTTTTAGGATTACACCGCGTAAATATATAAATGTGTCGTTAAATCCGCCACCACCCGACACAGCCAATAAGTAAGGTTTGTCACGTAAACAGAACGTGCCAATTCATTACTAGTTCAGCACACCGGTTGTGTGTTGGAGAGCCAAGCCACAACATTTACAATCTGTGCTGTACGAGTAATGAAATGGCATGTTCTGTTTACGTGACAAACCTCACTAATTGGCTGTGTCGGGTGGTGGCGGGTTTAACGACACATTTATATATATTACACGATCTAACCCAAAAAACCTGTATTATGGATTATATTGGTCGCGAAAGCTTACGTGTTAAACGTATAAGCACATCAATCAACGGCAACATTTTAGAATGTTTTCAATGGCCCATTTTCATTAGTTTCAAGCCCATCGTGCCCGATAAAACAATGGAACAGATCTGAGTTCCCGTAGGCTTGATTACGAATGCACGCTTACACCAGGTCGTACCGAAACGTTCAGCAAACGATCACATGACTTGCTACGTTTTATATACAGCAATGTACCGTTTGCGCGATGTGTCTATGTGGGGAGCGGTAGTGTAGCGGTTAGCGCGCTGCGCTATGAACCTGGCGACCTGGGTTCGATTCCCGCTCACGGCTAACACCAGTGACGATTATCTGAACCGGTCCTGGGCCTCCCCTAGGTCGACTCAGCCTTAAATGAGTACCTGGTGCGGTGTGCAAACATCGCCACTGGGGAGACAAAGGCGGCCGGGCGTGGTGCTGGCCACCCCACCCCCTCGTGTGCCGTTCTGGCCTCTATAGGTGCTCGCTAACAGCACTTGCCCCTACAGTCTGTTAAGGCTAAACGGGGGATCTTTGATAAAATAAAACAATGTTTGCTGCCAACAAAGCAAGGGTCCACGCTGGCGTAAGACAAATGAGCATTTGCATCTCAACAGTCCAATTACAATACATCTTTTGTCAACGTGTTTTTGCAAGCATCAAGAGAAACGGTATTACTTACGTAGACACGTGCAAGGCTAACCGAGTAAACGATGTTGGGCGGGAGGGGGGGTGCAGGCGACATTCTTAACAGGCGCAGGAGCATTTAACATACTTGGTGCGCGTGGCAGTCAGAGTGTTCGTTCTGGGGGCATTGTGTCTCTTGATTGAGGAGGAGCGATGGACGCGCAGCGGTGACTTTGTGAGAAAGTGGCTGCAGGTGTGTGTGGGATTAGATCAGCTCGGAAGCACGAGGGATTGAATTCATGGGCACGCCGTGCGAATTAATTTGTGGGGGGGAAGAAAACCAAGGGTGCGACTCGATAAAAGGGCCCACCGCAGAGACTGTGGGGGGTGGAGATTCCATTCAGCGTCTCGTCCTGCGCGAAGGTGGCCGCTATGCTGGTAGACGCGAGACTGCCGTACCACGGGGGAAAAAAACCCTTCACGGCCCTGGAGCCCAGCCGTGTTGGTGGTGGGTCGGCACCGCAACCGCTGCCTCGGAGTCCAGCCTGGGGGGGTGATGACCACTGGCTGGCCGGTGGGCGCGATCGACCTGGGGTTCTACAGTAGACTGCTGGTCCTGTCCCCAGTGGGTGGCCTCCTTAACCATCGTCTTTGGAGCCAGGGCTGGGACAACTCAGGGAACCACCCCCGCTGCTGCCGTGAAGGGGACTCTTCGTGCCGCGTGGCTCACGGGGCCATGCATAAACACATTCCTGCGGAGGGAGCTGGTAGGAACGTTGGGTTGCTCGGTCAATGGCCAGGGTCAACGGCGGCGTGGTGTATTCCGCAAATATGCCCGACTGTGGGCGGGCACAAGCCGGCGTGAGTAGGTTAAACGTTGAGTTTAAGGGCACCACGGGGTGACCAGCCCCACCCTCCCAATTTGTTGATGCACGACGGACGGACACAATAATCCCCTGTGGGCTGGTTCAACCAAGAGGTTCCTACCAGTATAATCGTGAGGACTGCGGGGGGGGGGGGGGTGTCGACAGCTGGGACCTAATGCGGGGAGGAGGAATCGAGGTGATCCTCCTGAGGTGGTGCTTGAAACGTTTTTGTTTGGTCCCTTCCAGAGCCGGGTGATCTTTCGGGGGTTGGTCGGCAGCTTTCTCCCAACAGCGTTCGTGGCGGACATCTGTGAAGCCGTGGTCATCGGGTTGTGTTGTGACTGGCTGTGTTTGTGCTGCTGCGAGAGCCATTTTTGGGTTGGTATAATTGCTTGTGATGTGTGCACTCCGTAGAAGTAACATGGCCTGTTTTACTATTTAACAATGTAGAACTTGTATAAAGGTTAAATTGTAAGTGAACGCCACTAAATCTGGAGTATACCGGCAGTGGTCTTTGATATTCCGCGCACGGTCATTTGGGGTGTCGCGTGAAACTGATGCCCCACCATCTAAGCCACAGCGATGCTGCGGTAAGAGACCGAAACTCTCTAAAAGCGTGTCCCCAGAAGGACGCGCCTTGCTTACAAAAACTTCAAAGAAAGATGCCAGTTAAGACAACAGTCGTAGTAGCTGTTGCACGTTGCCTGTTATAACCGCACGGTAAAAATCTGCTGTGCTGAGCGAGCCACCGTTAGGTACCTTTTTTTTTCTTGTACCGTTCACAATTTGTAAACTTGGAAGTTGACGAACTAACAACCACCCCCACCCAGTCTCTTTGAAAAAGTCCAGGTAGCATTACTGACTTTAAGCACAACGCACGTTCATTCATCATTGACCCCCCCCCCCACCCTCGTTTCTTTTAGAGGGGGGCAATTTTACTCCCAGCAAACGGTGAGCCTGGTGGGCAGGAAGTCCAACCGATTGGTCTTCGGTTGTGGTTTTGGGTTGCATCCCATGTTTACCAGGTAAGGCCTTGCCGAGCTATGTAACTCTTCTTTATCAGACGCGACTTGGTCACAAATGATCGCTCAACGAAGTGGCCGATCACGTGGGAATTTGTTTTTGCAGCCAAATGTGGAGGGGGGAGGACCCGGAGAGATCCACGCGACTCAAGGGAGAAGATGCACGATCTCTACATGCAGGCGCTGTGGTGTGATCGAATCTACGACCTCGTGTATACCAGGCGAGGTAGTTAATATCTCGCCACCGTGGTGGTTTAGTTGAACCATTTACCAAACCTTTAAACCGGTTCAAAATTAAATTTCGATTGAAAGCTTTCGTAACTGCAGGGATTCGTCTTCTTGATTCTTTCGGTAAAGTCAAGTAGAAAGGAAATAATAAAATAATAAAAACAAAACATAATAAAATACAATTCTCACGACGTTTCGGCCACAACGCAAGACAGGACGGCTGCTTGTGTTGTGGCCGAAACGTCGTGAGAATTGTATTAAATGTTTTATTTTTATTATTTCCCTTCTACGTGACTTTACCGAAAGAACCAAGAAGACGGTTCAAAATTGTATATTTGCAATACAAAGGACCTACTGTGTAGCCCCCCATGGCAGGCTACAATTAAAACACGGTCCCCCCTCTGCAAGAAACGGTGAGCGGCTCCCAACCGAAATATCGAGGTGCAAACGGAGATGCAGACATGCGGGCCCGATGCTTGGTTGCGTTTAATTGCTTATCCCCTATGCATTGAACGACACAGTACGGACTTAACGCAATCACGATAAGCAGTGGGGCAGAAACACACAAACATCGTGTCCGGATTTAAAAAAACGTGATGCAAATCGAATGACGGATTCGGAAAGACGCGCAGACACGAAGGCGATGGAGGACACATCCCCTTTTCCTGAAGTGGCTTGGGTAAGACATGTCGCCAGAAGGGATTACGGATGGCCACCATGAATAACGGAATGGCGGTCAAAGGATGGAATGCATCTGTGGGCATGCCCATCAAAGATGATGGGAGCGATCAAATCTGTTCACGTGCTGGGTGGATTGTTGTGCTGTGAGACCCGCAGGCGTGGCAGTGGCTTGGGGCGGCTTTCATCCAGGACCGATCGCAGTGACGTTGATCTGAAGGATTTCGGGGCCCCTCCAAGCTCGAATTCAACCTTTAAGTGCATACCCGGTGCGATGTGTAAACACACGGGCATCGGGGGAGACGAAAGCGGTCTGGTGAGGTGCTGGTCATACACCTCGTGTTCCGTGCCGATCTAGACGTGTGCTCGCTGACGTCACTTGCGGCAACAGTCAATTAGATGTTCGATGTGCCCCCTTTGTCTTTGTATGTGTAGGTGTGAGTCGGTGGTAGTGAGCGTGCGCTGTGCCGGTCTTCAAAGGTGCTCGGAAACAGCACTTGCCCCCAAAGTCTGTTTCGGCTACATGAGGAGGGAGGGGGGGTATCTGTCTTGTGTGACTGAGTGTAAGAGTGTGGATATGAGGATTATCTGTGCGAGAGTGCACGAGTGGTAAGTCGCATTTAACTCGTCATATGCACGGGTCTACAGAGGATGCCCAGCGAAGGACTGTCCGTATATGAATGATGCAGATAAACACGGCCACGTGCACACTCGCCCCCCCCCCCCCCCCCCCTGGCAGATGGGCGGCCCAAGTGCTGCGAGCGACGTTGCTGTTTAAAGGCAGAGCTGCACACGAGGGGTGGTGTGGCCGACACCCATCACACTCGGCGGCTATCTTTGCCTTCGACAGCAGCGATCTGCACATTGTACCGGGCATTCATCGAAGGTGCTGTCAGAGTATTGAAATTCATTTAATCGGCGAAATTTTGAAGTACAATTGAATTAACAAAGGTATTTTTTTTCCAGATTAAATTATCAATATTCTTCACATTTTATAGCAAAAAGGAGTTTTGCGGAGTTAACTGTTTTCCACAACACAATCCTTAAATTAGGGATCACAGCAAATTTGATCATTCTGCAGTTTACTGCTTTGTCTCATCGTGTTTGTATTTTCGCAAATTCTAAGTATATGTATAATAGACACAAACCATGAAACAAATCCTTCAACATTCAGCATTGTATAGCGTTCAATGCTCACTTTAATGATCGCTGTAGCCTGCAGGTAATGTTAAATCTCGCCTTTGTAAAACCGATTGTGAAAAAACATATTTTCTTCAAATAGCAAAGTTGCTGCAAAGCACAATATATCCATTTATTGAACCGGTTAAAATGGCAACTGCAAAACATTTTTGGGGATTTTTTTTATTTATTCCGGAGCACCAAAAAAACATTTCAGTTTTTGGTTATGAACAATAACGCTCAAACCTGGTGTTTGGTTCGATTCGACTCTGCCTGTGGAGGTTAACATCAATGGGCACGTTTCCATATAGCGTTAATAAAAAATCTGACACGTAACTTCACCTTCACATTAACAAATTTTGATGCCACCATTTTATTATTATTTAAACCCCGTACCATTTAAACGTGTTGTAAAATAGCCCAAACGAATGTGCACGAGAAAGCTAAATGAGTGTAGGGACACATTTGCATGTGCTTCACATATATTACACCCGCGCGTCCGTTTTTGCCCGCAGTAATAACATGAACAGGCGCTTACATTACTTGTAACGTCCATCCTCGAAACAATTAGTATGCATATGTTCGGCAACTTCATTTTACAAAGTGGACAAGATTCATTTTATTTTAATTTAAGGAGCGTTCTAATGGGTATGAAATGTGAAACTACAACATAAGGGGGGAGGGGGGGAATGACTGAGTTTGTGAAAAATATACATAAACCGACGGGGAGTAAAAATCCAGTGGAACTTTACAAAGTCACGCGCGCGTGCAATGGTCGCATTATAGGCTTCCGATGTTGGGGAAGCTTTTGAGTTTTTCAGGGAAGTCGTCTTTGTAGAGGACTGGATCCGCTCGGTGTTCAACGGTCTTGAGGGGCATCGTCTCGAACACCGACGCAAACTTGTTGATGCACTCCGACCTACGGTGGGGGGGGTGGGGGGCGCGGAGTCCACGTGAGACAGCGCCGCAGTCGTGCGACGAACCCGGCGCGTGCGCACTGAGGGCTTCACCCACTCCATGTTGGGTAAAAACGGACAACGGTATCGACACGTACATTGAAATGCATTTTAAGTCTGTTGCCCATTTTGGCCTTCCAGGCCCATATTACCGGGCAGTTTTTGTATGGTAAGTAAACTCCGTAATATTGGTCTGGAACTCCAACAGGAACAGTTTATTTTATGTATGTGCAAAAATCCAGAACATAAATTGATTTAAAGCTTTCGTGACTGCAGGGATTCATATTCTTGATTCTTTCGGTAAAGTCACGTATTATTTTATTTCTCTTCTACGTGACTTTACCGAAAGAACCAAGAATATGTATCCAGAACATAGTTCTGTTTATTTATGCTTATTTTTTACCCAGAATGCACTAGAACACAATGGATTAATCTACTCCATCTTGCATCATTCGCAGGAGCAGCCCTGCTGGGCTAATCACGAGTCGTTTACCGGGATGCTCTGTTTATTTTATTCAAGTGTCATAAAGGGTGGCTTTCATTAAGTTCCATAACTCGTTTACAAGGAGGTTGGTTTTTTTTAAAGAGTACCTCCTTATGCGGAATTTATGTTTGCGTGAGCGTGTTTGCGGGAGGGTTCTGTCTTTCGGGTTATTTGTAACACAATCAGTGTCACGAATAACCTGAAAGACAATTCAGCATTAAAAGGAACAGTAAATGTTGAAGATGTGGCAAAGCTTTATTATAAGAACCCACTGCAAAGTGAGTTTTAAATGTAATTGTTTTTCAATATAACCATTGCACACCACTTTCTTAAAGAAACTGCTGTGAGCTTGGATTTTATTTTATAAATATGTTTTCATTTCTCTTATTTGGCACTTAACATACTTTAGCCTTAGAAATGAACATTTTTTTAAAGCTCTCTGGCACCAAGTACTATAGATTACAGTCAGCTGATATTTTGTGCAAAAATTCTATTGTTTTAACTTAACAAGAGTGTGGCTATATTTATTTATCGAAACGGAAAATAAAATACGGCCTATTAAAAAAAGCCCCCAGAAAGTTTGGGTGGCGTCCAAAAATTACGAATTTTTTTTTTTGACAAACTAAACTATTATGTTTTCTAAAAAGTTATTTTTACATAATTGCCCATAAGCATGCACAGCCATCCCAAAGGGATGTGAAAACAGATTGATGTGAGTATGACCACATCCAGTTTCCTTTTAAAAATAAATTGAGATGCTAAGGATTCCTCGTGCCCCCATAAATCAAAAGCTCACTCTTAAATGATAGTTTGAGGCTCTCTGCGCCCAGCCAACAGTCGCAACATGAAAGCGGCCCAAACTCCCCCACCCCCTTCACCGGACTAGTGATTAAACGCTCGCGCAAATATCGGTTTGACCCCGTCGCTACTCCGGAGCCCACATGTTGCAAAGGGCGCGAGCACCACGCCGCCCACACCCCTTCCCCCGGTGAAGGATTGCCGGTAAGTGCCCCATACGTCACGGCGCACAGGCCCTGTCGGCTCGCGGGGCTGCCTCGCTCCGTCAGCGATCAGCCGCTCGCCCCACTGGCTCGTGGGGTGAGAGTGGTGGCACGTGCGTGCCCATGTACGCGCGTGCGTGTACACGTGTGCATGCGTCTATGTTGTGCGTGGGGAGCGGTGGTGTGGTGGTTGGCGCGCTGCGCTACGAACCCGGCGACCCGAGTTCAGTTCCCGCTCGCAGCTTCCAAAGACCGTGACGATTATCTGAACCGTGATCTGAACTGGTCCTGGGCCTCCCATAGGTTGACTCGGCCACAAATGAGTGCCTGGTGCAGTGTAAACATCCCCAACTGGGGAGACAAAGGCGGCTGAGCGTGGTGCTGGCCACCCACTCCCCCATGTGTGCCGTGTTGGCCTTCATAGGAGTTCACTAACAGCACTTGCCCCAACAGTCCATTAAGGTTATATTGGGGATCTTTGTGTGCGTGAGGGCGAGCGTTGGGCCTCACCGCTCCACCATATGGGTCTGGTCCAGGGACAGCCCATCAATCGCCGTGCACTCTGGGCACTTGAACTTCTTCCGCGGGGTCACCTGCGGAGAGAGCGGAGCGGAACGGCGAGCGCGTGTGAGGCTACGGAGAGAACAGCAGCAGCAGCACAAGAATTACAACTTTGTTGACAATGACGGAGCAGGGTATCCTGAGGCTCGTGGCGCTATGTTTACAACTGCACGTCCAGATAAGCATGCATCATGCAATGTTTTGTATGCACTCAAATATGCAGATGTGTTGAGATAACTTCGTGTCACGATATAATTCACGGCATAGGAAGGTCTTCAGAATTAAGAACACACAAGTGCTCTTCTAAATTCAATTATCAAGGCCTCACTGTCTTGCAAACAAGGGCGTTTTCCATCAATTGAGGCATTCAAATAGAGGAACAATTATGGCAGATCGTTGCAAATAAATGAAAGATTAATGTTTAATTGCTTGAGTCTTAAGCTCACGATATGGGAATTAAATAGTGTAAGTATCAATGTTTTTTCCACTCACGTATGCAATGACATTCGTGGCAATGTTTCAAAAATTCTTAAAACAGAATCGTACAATACCATTTGGAGTCCTCTCGCATTCATACGCAACCACGTCTCAAGACACGGCACAACAGAGTGGGGCATGTTCACCATGCGGTATTACGGCCCTGAATTGTCACAATTCATCGAACCCAACTGGGTGGACAGGGGAGTAACATTCTGCCATTCATCACACTCAACACTGCACCGCTTTGACGTCCGCGCAAAGAGCGCCGATCAAAACGGGGCTGAGAGAATACTCTTGCCCCCTCCGACAAAAACCATCTTCCCCGCGGACAGAGGGACAACCACCGAGGAGGTTTTCAGCGCGGCCCAACTCTCAAACGCACCGGACAAGGCCATGTACAGAGGGATCACACATCCCCCCCGAGCCCAAGACGGGCCCGCGCCTGATTAACACATCAACAAGGGGCGGTGCGGTGCGCGTGCCCTCTTGGTTCGTCGCTCTAGAACTGCCAATATCGCACAGCAGCTTCTTTAGCGGTGTTCCCGCTTGCAGCTTGCGCCCGGAGCAGGCGGGACAAGAGTCCAGAAGAGCAAAAGCCCTGACTCAAGGGTGAGCGTGTGAACGAACACACACACACATGCAAGGCCACCCCAGCAAGTACCCCAGCACCATGTTTTTACAATAAGCTTCCTTTTTTTTAACACCACACATCCTGCAAAAAATCCTATGCATTTTCCACTTTTTTTCCTTTCTCCCACCCCCAAGAGGTTACTTTTTTCCTCTCCTGTAAAATATAATTCCTCTAGACCTGAAAGGCCACAAACCAGATAAACTCTCTAGCAGAATAAGCATATGGAAAACGCATCAGGCCTATTTTCAACCAAAGTGACTATAAATAAAACTTATTTTCATTGAAACACTTAAAAATGTTGGATCAAACACCCTAATGAGGCACTAAAAGTGTGCTTAGTATCAAGAAAGCTTCAGGACAATTGAATACCGTATCAAGCTGCTGTTGCGATTTCAACATTGCATTCAAAAGTCACCCCTTGTCCACCGAATTCTTGAGCACTCTTGAACCGGCACAGCTGAACGCGCGAGAAAGACATCTCTAAGTGGCCTGAGACAAACCCTTTGAACGATCCACAATCAACCATGTGCGCCGCATCGTTGGGAAAGTGTCCACACGAGATTTCGTCGAACAACCTAGTGCTTGAACAGTATTCCGAAAGTATTCCCGATGCTTTCTGCCAACCGCACCTGCTGCTTTTATTCAACCGACAAGGGCACGGAAGTTAATTTTTTCCTGGAATGCACGGATTTTTCGCCATCGAACGCACGGCAAAGAAAGCGGCGTTAGGCTTTCTTGCACGTGCCTGTGCACGGTCCAACAAATGTAGAAACAAAAAAAAAAATGTAAATATTGCCCTTTCCCTTGTGTTTTGTAAAAAATACAATCAAACGGCCGCAAACAACATTGGACTGTGATCTCGGAACCAAGTAAAATAACGGACGCGAAATTCTCCCACCTTCTGACAACCTAAATAAACCGCGAAATGCTGCCGAGCCAGCATGCGCTACGGAAAAGAGAAAAAAAAAGAGAAGAAGCAGGCTATCCTGAAGCACAGCCAAACAGTACGCAGACGAGACCCAGCACAGGCCAGAAAAGAATTCCAATCATTTGCACGAGGGCCTTCAAAGGCATCATAGCTACTGCAGACTAAATCCCCCACAACAGACGCGGCAATAAATAATTTGGCTTTAAAAGTCTCACTGGCTTGGCCTTGTCTATTGGCCAGCAGCGCAAAACCACCAAGCAGGTCCCAATCTCAGACAGACAAAAGCCACTCAAGGCAATAATCATTTTTAACAAGCAAGGCACACACAGTTACTCGAAGCATGTTACATGGTCTGTGCTATGTTTACACTACTTGCTTGATATTCGTAGATTGCAAGGTCACACATTATTCAAGCAATGAATAAAACAGCAGGGGGTTACGAATCATTCCATTGAATATTCAGATAACGTGGAATTATTAAGTTAAGTCGTATGTTGATGATCTAGGAATTTAATAATGCAATTACTGAAATGATAACTGAATACTGTTGAAATTGAATATGTAGACAAATAAACATTGCTCTGCCAGGCTATAAAAATATCCTTTGTTGCAGCAATCAAACTTCGCTGGGAAATACATCAGAATACAAGGAATTAATTACTATATCAACCTCGTCGCGTGCATTAACTTGTTAACAAGCCGCTGTCTGAAGTAAATTAAATCAGATTAAAACAATTATTGGAGCGATTTAACCCCCTGCCCCCCCCCCCCCCATCTTCAAGGGATAATCAAATAAGGTTGTCGAATATTATTTGAGTCTTTCGGTAAAGTCACGTAAATTGGTTCAAAGAAATTTTTAAAAATAAATAAAAACTACGACGTTTAGATCGCAACACCGCTTGTGTCGATCGAAACGCGTTGTAGTTTTTAGAATTTTTGTTATTTTCTTTGAACCTATCTTCGTGACTTTACCGAAAGACCCAAAGAATATGAATTCCTGCAGTCACGAAAACTTTAAGTCAAGATTTAAGGTTGTCGAAGTTTTTAGTAAACGAGAAGAGAAATTGCTCATGAAGTTCAACAAATGCAATATTTGATGACATCAACAGAGGAATCCTCTTGCATAGTTCTTTTGGAGGTTGTGCTCCTGTATGTACGTATGTAGAACTTCTTTCGCACAGTACGTCGACAACCATGCTAATCGGAGGTGCTGTTTACTGAAGTTCCTGAAACAGCTCCAAGCACGTGGAGCAAAACGTCAGACATCACGCTGAACAACGTGTGGTCGCAACCCAGAAACACATCCACTTAGAAAACCAACATTTACAATTTCGAAGAAATGTATCGAATTTGTTGTTCGCACTATTACACCGGCTGTACAATCGCAAACAATTACAGAAAACGCAAAATCTACAACTACTCTGATGGAACGATTTGCAAAAATGTGCCAGCATAATTTCCCCCCCCCCCTCCTTTCTCTCATTTCACGTTTTTTGTCTTCTTTTTCTTCTTCCCTTTTAACATTTTTTGGGGCACTGTAAAGTCCTTATCCATGAGCAGTCTCACTGTACTCTGGATTTTCCCACTGCGTGTGCACATTCTGCTTCCAGGCCAACGCTCCCGCGGGCGCCCAGCGCAGCAGGCTTTAAAAAAAAAAGAAAGTCTTAAACATTCCCACTCCAGTGCTTTTATTAAACTTTATTGGACAAGAGCTACTTTCATGTGGTCTGCGACTGCACGATTTCTCCCCCTACCCAACTATCCCTTTTTATTCATCCGAAACAATTTTTTCTCTCCCGAGAAAAGCTGTTGATATTGATATTTTAGTCTGTGCACACTTCATGAGAGAGAATGCTGCCATGGTGAACTTTCATTACAGAGGTCGCCGGTTCACTCCCCCCAGCGCGGCAGTTAAAACAAAGGGGGGACAGGTTTCTAAAATCTCTCCGCCTCTAAATGTGTTCACCGCAGTCGCTCGACCGGCAGGTCGCGTGCGGTGGGATGAAGTGTGGGTTACCCCCCGCCTCTTCCGGGATGTTTGGCCAGCGTGAAAGAGTAGGCCAAATACCTTTTTAGAGGGGGGACTTTATACATCCTCGAGTGGAGGACCCTTCAGCGGGCAAAGGCAGAGAAGCGAGCAATTGCAGGGGCTAGGCCTTTTCATTTATTTCACACTCGCACGCCGCTGTTTTATTCACAAAGGTGTGCACTTGTCGCAGTAAAAACGAACTGGAGGCTTGTTTTGCGGTGAATTGGGAGTGTGGACAATGATGGGGTCACCTTCCCGTCCGCTGACGCGCCTGCGGTCTTCTGGAAATTGTGGGAGAAATGCCTCTCGGCAGGGTGCAGAAGGCCTCTCTACCTGCAGTTCTGACAGCGCTGTGTAGGAATCTCATTGCTAGCTGAGTGCGTATTACACCTTACAAGTTTTCAAGCTTACTAATACAGAATCGCTATCAATAAGAGCCTCCTTGGGATGTTTGCAGAATTTCTGTGCGAGTTCAATGCAAGATAGCGAGAAGCGATGACGTGTCCGGAAGAAACTGAACGTGGATGTAGAGAGAGGAGAGAACACTTTGACCCCGACACACAGGGGTCAGACACCCGCATGTACATCTCTGCGATGTGTCATCGGATTGTGCCGTGTGTTGTTTGGCGTGACGTCCGACGTTTCGCACCACAAGCTGGGAGCTTCTTTGGTTCATCACAAGGAACAACACGGGGTACAACCCGAGAACACATTGAAGCGCTTGCACAGCAACAACCGAAATGACCTATGCAGAAGGTCAGAAAGCTATTTGTTAAGAAGCCCCTTACAGACACCGACTCATTGCTAAGAAGTTGGGTATCACACACAACACACACAGACTGCCTTTATAGACAGTAACACGCAAAGCATGGCTCATTGCTAAAACTTCCGATTCAGAACACACACCCCTCACATATGCCAAACAACCTGGCCTTCGAGTCGCTATAATTAGTCGCACCATCAAAAAACCAATCGAGTGCACTGGCAAGAAAGCTATATAGTAAATGTAGCTTTGCTTCAAGTAAAGGAGGGTTAAATACAACTTATAACGTCCGTGCAGCAATTCACGGAGACAAAATTAAGTGTACGCTACATGGAATGGAATATCTTTCCAGAAAATATATCAATGGATTTTTAAGAAACACGTTGCTGCATTACTCATACGCAACTCTCGTTTCTGGAAAATATATATATACATGAAATTCTGGGTGCGGCCAGAGCAAAATATCGCATGTCAGGCACCACCGCACAGTTGATGCCTTTTCAATATGGGAATAATGGAAATGACACAAGGTGCTTGGACTGCAGAAGTCTGTATCAATTTGCCTCGAGGCAGTTTAGACAACCTCCTACTGCACTTCAAGCTTTATTTTTCGATTGCAGTTTTGGCATTTATAATCAGGACACTTTTCCAGTCCTTTCTCAATTCACTACGTACGCATTTAGAAATTATTTCGCACCGTACGGAGCCAACCGCGCTAATCGGAGGTGCGGGTGACGAACTCTCCACGCCAAGTTGGTCGCGGGGAGTTGGGGTGACCATACTTCATCACAGTTTAACACGTAGGCTTTTCGCGACCAATGCCATCAATAATACGGGTTTTTTTGTGTTAGATCGCGGTACTCGTAACGAATTGGCACGTTCTGTTTACGTGAGAAACCTTACTAAATTGGCTGTGTCAGGTGTTGGCGGGTTTAACGACACAGTTATATATTTACACGATCTAACTCAAAAAGCCTGTATTATGGATAGTTCAGCACGTTGGTCAGTGCGGGTTGGGGGAGTGGGTGCTCAGGACCGGTTCTGGTATCGCTCGTCAATTGAACTTCGGTTGGCGGTAGAAAGCGTAGTGCGATAACCACTGCGCCACCACCACACCTCGTTTGACACTATACATATTTAGTTTTTCGTTACATGTTTCCAGAGCTGTGCGATGTTACTTTAAAATCTGCGTTGCGCAACAATGTGTTACGAACTATTGGACTACATTTCGATTTAAAGCTTTCGTGACTACCAGGGATTCATCTTCTTGGTTCTTTCGATAAAGTCACGTAGAAGGGAAATAATAAAATAATAAAAATAAAGATAATGGACCACAATTAAAACGCTCGGTTGGAGCAAATAAGGAACCAAGAAATAATACAAAATCTATACAATGACCTAGGGAAGAATAATCGTAAGGGCAATTCCAGTGAACCGTGAAGCCAAGCGGTCAAGGGCACGTTGGAGATTTCCACATCGGGCTGGTTTATGGGACACGAGGCTGGGACTTAAAGTGCGCGCGCAGGTGCTCAGCATTGTTAACAATGAACCCCCCCCACCACATGTGGCCTGACCTTGATGGGAGGTTTCCCAGTGACGTTCGACACCAGGAAGTTCATGGCAATGTCCTCACAGTTCATGTGGTTATCGACCCAGCCTTTGATATCGCCAGGCATTTTGTAGGTGTATAGGTAGTTGAAATACTGCAACAACAAAAAACACACACACACACACACACGAGGTTCATTGTTCACAGTGAATAGATTCGATTCTCAAACATCCAAATCAGGACGTACCTGAAAATGAGACTTAAGAACGAGCGAGGGATTTCAAGGAGGATTATTCAATCCTGTTATTAAATCATCTGTGACCCACGAGCGTGACCAAATCGCTCGGAATGCTGCTCCAATCTTGTGAAATCCTGGAAGCTAAGCGGGATTTGAGCCTGGGTGTTCCTTGTAATTAACGACCACCATGCATGACGGGCGTTAAAGAGGTGCGCAGAATTTCGTGGGGGGGGTGGGTGAGGGAGGGGGGGGGGGCAACACAGAGCAGTGCGGCAAACAAATAAATCCTCCTCGCTACCTTGTGGTAGAAGGCAGCTCCGGTGAGCACCATGGACACCTCGTTCGTCCACTCGGACTCGTACTTCCACTTGGCGGCCTCGTGGTCCCAGAGGTGCAGGCGGCCAGGATAGCCCACGAGGCGGTCTGGGAACTCCCTCCACACCTGGTGGAATGCGCGCAATGGACGGCAAGGATGGCTCAGTCAATGACTCCCGCAGCGTACAAGGGGACAACGAACTGGTTTGTGTGTTGTGTTGTTTTTTACTTTTATAAGAGCTCGGCAACAAACCACAAACTGTAACTAGGGGGTGGGGGAGTCTGGAAACGCCACGGACAAAAGCACAAATTCAGTTCTCCCGGGTTTTGGGGAGGGAAGAGAACTGGACTCCGTGCTCCGCTCACGCACGTATGCACGTGCGTACGTATGCACGTACGCGCGTGCACTGAACTTCTTTCAAACAGCACGTAGCCAACCGTGCTAATCGGAGGTGCGGGGGAAGGACAACTAAACACAACGAGGACTACAAGCAGGAGTGGACATTTTTACATGCTGGGAGGGGGGGGGGAGATAAGGGAAGAGGAACAAAATGGGATACAAGGAGCAGCGGTGGTGGGGGGTCAACTTCGTGGATGCAATGAAATACGCAACGATCATGATTTTACTGGAACAGCTCTGCGATCTGTTTTCGGGTCTTCTTCTGGTAGCTGACGAGAGGTCTCCCAGCGCGCTTATTTCCCAGGGGTCAGACGAGATCGGGCTCATTTAGGTTGCTTTGGTCAAAGGCCAACGAGTGCAAGTCAATTCGAAATCAACACCGAGAATCTGATGTTCACTCCCGAGTGCAATATCCCAATAATGCGCACCGTCTGTTACATAGTCGATGTAAAAATAATAGATCCCCCAATTCCTTCACGACCACCCCTCCTCCTCCTCCTTCTCCTTCTCCCCGCTCCCTCTATCTTCTTCTATAAGATCTTCTTCTCTTCTCTTCCCCTCCCCACACAAAAGAACAACGCACCCTGCTCACGGTCCGCGTTTGGGTGGGGCGGTGAGCCCAATCCCCATCCTCAACTAAACCCAGGAGAACAGAGTTCAGGACTTACGTCCAAGGAGTTTATTTGTAGGCCCCTCCCTGAGTCGTGGTCTGTGCTCTGTACCCGTCTTTTATTGAAATATAATAAAACAATTTTTTTAAGATCCCCTGACGTCATTTTCCATCGTGTGCCCAATGTCAAGGGTTAAAATTTACCGAATTAAAAAAACATTACCTGAAAATAACTTAATACGGGCTATATATATATGTATATCTCTGTTTAATACGTAGGCTTTCACGAAAAATATTCACCACCCAACACAGCCATTAAGGTTTCTCACATAAACAAAAACGGGCCAATTAGTTACAACTTTACAATTATAAATGTTGTGGATTTACTCTCCAACACACCGGTGGGCTGAATTAATAACCAATTGGTGCATTTTCTTTACGTCACAAACCTTACTGGCTGTGTCGGGCGGTGGATTACGACAGATTTCTACTTTTGCAATCTAACCCAAAAACCTTAATTATGAATATACATCTATCAATCATTGCCCCCCTACTGGCAAATGCCCTAGGGTCAATCTTGCAAATGGGACTCTCTATCCTGGTCTCTAGAGTTCTCACCCAGTTAAACAAAATACACTTTAAACTTGTGAACGGGTATCCATCATTATAAACTGAATTTTTTGCCATCACCGGCTTTGCAATATTGGTAATTGGAAGCGTGTAATGTTCAACGCACGTAAAACAATTTATTTTGATTGGGAACAAGTGCACTGTACAGGAAATAATAATAATGATGACGATCAACTCTGTCGAAAACAGCGGCCTCTGGGTCAGGCACAGGTGCTGGGTATTAACTGTGGGCTGCTCCACTTAGTAAAGGGATGTTCCATGCATCTTGTCCACACATGTGGGTTCTTTTTCAATAAAGTTGACTTTATTTATATATCATGATATCAAGAAATAATTTATTTCAATACAAAACAAAATAGTTTACTGACATTTTTCTATCCACTGTGGTATGAAGGAAGGGCTTCGCCAATTTGGGTTGTTCATGGAGGTTGTCTGACCATATTTCACAATGCTGGTCACTGCGGATCTGGAAATAATGGGGGGGGGGGCGGGGTGGAGGGTTGCGCAGGGCTGGTGATTATATCACTCGGCAGTGATGTTTGCTACGGCTGGGAATCAAACTCAGGTTAGTGGGATTCATAGCGTAGGGATTCATAGCGTATTGTGCTAACCATTGCACCACTGTTCCCATCTATTATTAATGAGGTGCTTCAATTCAGAATGCAGCTCTCCAAGTGCACAATATCGCATGTAACGATTAATATCAACATAGCATGAAAAACTAGCATCACAAAAGGACAATTACCAAAAACCTAATATAATCACAGTGATCATCAGCTTGATATGCAAACCTACAAACATTAGTTTTCAATCTTTTTTGCGTAATGCAACTGTCCGTCATTTTCTAAAGATGTTCACAAATCAGACCTTTTCACATGACACTAACATTCTTAATCTCGCATGGCAGTCACTTACATGCAAAACTGTAAAACATTTCTGAAGTCTAAAGAAGTTGGCACTTTATTTTGGTCCAATAGCCTATTTGTCCATTTCAAGTACAAGTTGTGACATAAAGAGCAGGTCCCTTGCCTGTAAGATCGGCAGTTGGCCAGCATTAATTCAAGCAATCTGACCGAGTTTGTCTTGAAAAAAATGCTGCTGAAATGATGCCCTCCCAGAAAGCCATGCGGCCGACGGGTTTTGTAAGACATACTTTTAAAAAATGTTGTATGTGGAGAGACGGATACATGCAATGAGACATTGTATGCATGTGTGTTATTTGTAAATGGTGCAACAGACTTTGTTCTGTGATATTCACACCTTGCAGACACCAGCCTACAACTTGGTTCTCAGCGAGTGACGTTGCACTGTATACGTTGTGTACAACCGTGTAAGGGTTTCAGATTCTTAGGCTGCTGCATTCCTGTCTATTTTGTAACGTCCGTAAGCGAGGCAGCCGCAAGGCCTGTGCAGTATCCCGGCGAATTTCTGGCTGCGGATATTAATGTGCGCTGCGAGTATCAGCGTTAATAAAACCACACGGCAGCCTCAAGTAGGATTAACACCACCTCCCTTCAGCCAAAATACAAATGTTCAGTGTCGTTACTATTATCTACAAGGTTTTAATTTATAAAGGAACGTATAAAGTACAGTTGCAAACTCACATATCTGACTTGCTGGGGGACTGAGGTACAGGCAGATATTTCAACAGCTCAAATATGTGAACATTTATATGAAATTACAAAAAGGTTAATGGACAAAAAAATAACCCACAAACTGCGTTAAATATGGGAAAAGGCCTGACCATTCTTGAACGTAAGCGAATGTACGTGAGATTAAGAGGACATTACTTCGTGTGTGAAAAAGTCTACTTGTAAACATCTGTAGAAAATGATAATTGCACCGTGCACAAATACTCAGATTCAGAATATGTATTTCTACTGGGGGAATCCATTGACCTAGAAAGCTCTCGTTTCACAGACGACAACCAGTAAGGTGTGGGTGATTAATTGGTCAGGGCAGCTTTGTGAAAGTCAAACACGCGACGTTGTACTGTACGTCTTTATCAGAATGTTGGGCATCCATCCGCACATTTGTTCCACGCTGGAGAGAAAGAATCTCTCTTATACCGCTCAAGTAGAACATGTGCTGTGGCCTCACCATGAAACTCAAGACGGAACTTTGCAGCGACAGGAATTTCGTATACATGCATATCCCAAAGCCTGTGGCCTACACTTATGTGGTTTGTTAACACAAGCAAATACTAATAACGTTTACTGTATGCTCCAATTCACTCTTCTTTTTAAAGGACGTGTGTGTACACAGTATCCGATTCATTTCGCGATGCGTCTAATTAGACCGAGTGCCATTAAACGTCAAAATATTTGGTGCCATTCTGTGCTGTTTTTTTTTCGGGGACTCACAATGAGGGTTTATGTGTTCTACAACACTGCGGTAAGAAGCGCATACAAAAATAAGCCAGGCATAACCTAATAAACAAGAGTTGATTAAACCAACTCCTATGGAATCGTTACTTGGTGAGAACTCAAAAGAAACCTTATTATGCTCACACTGATGTTTGAAGTTGGTATTTTTGGGACAAAAGCTGGGCTGTGATGTGGCCAAGAAGGATCATTTTTGAGCGGCGTGTCAGAATATTGGCAAATGATATAAAAATAATGTCCTGGACCCTTGCACGAGGCGCGGCAGTCCAAACCGCAGGCGTCCGATGAGCTCTTCCAAAATTATTCACTTTTTTTTGTTCATACGCCTCGCAACTCTTAGCTGAGTTGGCATTCCCCCCCTCTCGACGCTATAAAACTATTCTTTAAATTGTACGATTGTAAAGAAAATACATTGACCAATTTTGCTTCAAAACCTACTGGATGTGTCCCGATGTTAGACCACAGTAAACTTTTGCAGCTAAGAGAAAACCAAATATGTATTGGAAAATAACGAATGGGAGGTAACAAAGGAGGACACGTGGGTTATTGGCTCTGGGTGAAGGGTTGAATTGAGCGGCACTGTTTTTGGGAAAGTGTCCATATTTTGATGCCTAGATAACATTTATCAAGTGTATCACCGTCCACAATAGAGATGCTGGCAGGGTGCTTTTGGTTAGCACTTGTGATCCAGAATTCTGCAGTTAGATCTCCCGGTTCAACTGTTGACGTTTCTTAAATCCTCCGCCCCCTTACCCAGCAGTATAATTGGGTACACCATAGGAAGTAGATTGGTCGGTTACATGCAGTGGAATAATGCTTGGGTACTACTCCCACTGCTTCCACAAGGTTTGGCCAGTGTGGAAGGCTTTAAAATACCCTCTCGAGAGGGGCTCATCTCGCAGGTCAAGACCCATCTGCCAACAATGGTGTGATCAAACAATTGCAGGGTTGACCCTTTACCGTCCACAAGATATAATGTTAGAGCAATATGTCCATTCATTAACAATAACCCAAATGCGCTATAAGCCAGTGCCAATAGTGATCCAATTTGACCATTATCATAACATATGCAGGCCGGTGGAGATGGCCAAATATATTATCGG